GGAACAGCCCAGGGGTGTCACACTTCATCCCAGCTTTAAAAGGCCCCAAATCCTTCCCTTAGTCAGACTGTGGCACTTAATTCCTCCCTTTCCCACTGCGTCCATGCATCTGGCAGGTCTGCGTGCAAACTTGCTGGTGCCTGCAAGCAGAGTAGTGACTATAAAGGCTGTACCTTACCTCTTCCGCCTCAGCCAGCTTCCCCAGAACAAGGTGGATGCAGCCAATGTTATAGCAGATTTTGGCAGGGGGGTTCTGGACGGCCGTGAAGGCATCCAGTGCTGCCCTCCACTCCTTCCTTTCTGCTGCGCACACCCCTTCCTGCCACAGCCGGATCGTCTCCACCAGGGACATGGTGCAGTGGGAGTGGGACGTGTCGTGGATCTTGCCCCTCTCCTCGTCTTGCGGCACTGCTTGGCCTCTCTCTAGCTCCTTTCTGCTTGTATTTCTGTGTTCCCTGCTGCCCGTGTTGCAAACCTGGCAGGAAGTGGCCTCACTCACGTCAGAGAAACGTGGCCCTGGGATGGGGAAGTGGGACAGACGCCGCCTCCACCACAGCGGGTTTCCATGCTGAGCTGCCATGGGTTGCAGGCCAGGTCCTCTCCAGCAGCTGCTCCTCACCTCTTCAGGTTTTGCTTCTCTGGGATTTTCATGAGAAGCCACGGATTTTGTCAGCTGGGTTGTTGATCGGGTCAAATTTAGGGTTGCAAAGCCACAGGGCGAGCGCTGCAGCTGAGCCCCTTGTGCCCTCTGAAGAGTGGTCCTCGATGGAGGTAGTTGCTAAATGGTTCCTGCAGCCATCTCCTGGCAGGCACAGCTGCCTGCAGCTGGGCTGGGGCTACCCTGCCTGCCCGCCCGCCCAAGTGGGAAGGCGAAATACAGCCCAAGGCACAGCCTGGGAAACCTTTTGCCCTGCCCGTCCCCCACCACGTTGCCCCAGTGAGGAGCTCCGCTGCTGGGCGTGCGCGGAGCTGCCCAAGGATGTGGCTTCAGGGGGCGGCGGCCGCGCTGTGCTGAGCCCTGGCAGCGGTGGTAGCTCACGCTCAGCCCAGCATCACTTCTGTCAAGGTGTTTTATGGCCATGGGTGCATAACCTGGCTCTGGAGCGCTGCTGGGAGGATGGGGGGAAGCTGAGCATGTGGCAGCAGCGAAGGCTGTGACGGCAAGGGGTCTGACCTCCTGACTCAGAAGGTTTGGAGCTGGGTGCTCCACATGTGGTTTTGGAAGTATTTTGCTGCTGCCTCATCTACCAGTGATGTGATGTGTATTTTGTAAGAGCTAAAAATATGTCAGCAAGACTTGGCCTGTGTGCGTTTACTCCAAATTCCCCAGCAAATTGCGTAATGCCAACAACAGGCAGGAGACTGTGGGGGAGACTTTTATTCGACTTCTGCTTGGAAAGAAACCCAAACTGCTGAACAGCAAGGACTTGGATTTTAATCAAAAGTAGACCAAGCACATCCCTGAACCTGGGCCTTTCTTTGGTTCTCCAGTTCTAAGTGTGTCCTCAGCACCCCTCTGTTCCCAGAAGGCTCTGGTGGCCTTACTACAGGAGCATGGAGGAGACTCTTCGATCTCCAGAAAAGCAGAGGAAAATGCAACCAGCTGAAATGATGCTGAAGGAGCAGGGTGGGAGTAACAACATGGTGAGCATGAAAATACCCCTCTGTGACGCCTTTTCTCATTCCTGTGAGGAATGGGAGACCCTATCTAGCAGGAAACGGATCACCTTATTGTAGGGATAATTTTCTGCTCATTTAATTATCTGAATTGGTGCACTGCTGGGTCAGGTTTATCCCAAAACCAGTACAAGGGGAGCTGGAGGAGGATGCGAGATCACTCCTGTGACAAGTGTTGGGGTTTGTTTCTTGCATTTCACGGAAAGATGGGATCTGAAAGATGCAAGCACAGCAAATGCTCACAGCAGCTATCCTTCTGCTCGGTGGTTTTTAATGAGTTTCACAAAGATAGATCTAAATAGAACCACAGAATCATTTAGGCTGGAAAAGACCTGTAACATTCAAGCAATTTCAAAGCTGCAATAAACACACCCCTTCTAGCAAGTCTCTTGTTCCCCTTTCTCTTACCAAGTTGGTTTAGTAGGCAAACTTTTTTCTTCTGCGATAACGTCCAAGAGGAAGTGAGTAAACGCAGATCACCAAGAGATGGGTAAGAAACACGTAGGAATGCCCAAAATCCAGCGACTGTGCAGCAGTCATTAAGTTTGTACAGCAACAGTATGCAAGAGCTTATCATCATTTCTCAAGAGGAGACACCCAGAATAAGACTAATTTGGGCACTAGAAAACATTACACGTGAGGAAAGACCGAGGGGATTGAACTTGTTTGGGAGGAGATCTATAATGCAGGAGGAGCGCAGGAGACTGAGCATGTCCAGCTCCTTCCCTGGAAGGCAGGTCTGAGCTCTCTCTCTGCACAGATGTGATCTTTTGGCTCACTCCCTAAGTGGTGGCAGGGAGCAAGGCAGGAGCCCGTGGAAACTCGTTGGCCAAGTGATGGATGGCTCAGAGCCCAGGGCTCGGCGGGGGCTGCAGCTCCGGGCAGCAGGAGGACAGCAGTTTCAAAAGCAGGATGTGGCTGTTGTCATTGCCACACTCTCTGGCCAAAGCTGAAGGCAGTGGTGGGAGGTTTGCAAGTGAGGCTTGGAAGTGCTGAGCCTTCCTAGCAGAGCTCTGCAAATGCCGTCCACCTTCGAGGAAGTCCAATCTGCACATAGAGTATTTTTCATTGAAGGTTTCCTGCTCATAATAGGAAAGGAAATGGGTTTTGCAAAATGAAATTGTTTAGGGATTTTTTTTTTTTCCTCCCCACCCATCTTTTCATAGAATCATAGAATGCTTTGGGTTGGAAGGGACCTTGAGAGATCATCGAGCCCAACCCCCCCCCCCTGCAGTGAGCAGGGATTGAACCTGTGAACTTGGTGTTTTTAGCACCATGTTCTAACCAACTGAGCTAACCTCTGTTTTCCTCTGAGAAACCTGTTAATCCTTTGAGGAATATGGCACAAAACACCCCCTCTGCCTGGGTGCATGCAAACAGCTGCTCTGCCGGTGTGAGTGGGGACAAGTGGGGTTCAGGGCCAGGAGCTAAGGACGGCCTCCACCAGCCCTAACTGCTGCGAGATGGCCGCTAGCCGGAGGTGACTCCCATGGTGAGCTCCTCTCCAGCTTTTGGGCTGGTCCCATCCCTGGGCTTTACTGCCAGAGGTCTTGTTAACACCATGCCAGTGGATTTTTGGCTCTGCCACGTGCCTGCTGGGGATACGAAGCTCAGGCTCCACTTTGCCAGTGGGGCGGTGGGAGTGCGTGCCTCCTCCCGCAGAGCTGGTGCCTGAGAATTTAACGCTGCTCTGGACTCGCTCAGCCGGTGGTGGCCACTGCGTAAGGTGAATGCAGCATCCAGATACAGGTCGCTGTTTGGCGCAGCTGGGGCTTGCTCCCTGTTGTGGTATTTGTATGGTCCATGAAACTGAGCAAGGCAGGATTTGGAGGAAAGAGGTTTGGGTTTGGTTTTTTTTTAAAAAAAACCCTAGATTTAGTTCCTGTCAATCAGTTAACAGAAGAGAGGCCTTCCTGCAAATCTTGCACTACTACCCCCACATTGGTACATGTCTTTTAGCACATCCCTGGATGCAGATGCAGAAGATGTATACATTTTGTAAACGTTTCTAGATACATCATAGCCTAGCCCAAGAGGAATCTGGAGAACCTTAAGATCGCGCTTCTTGTTGCCTTTGTTTAGCTAATGCCACCTAGAGGTAGCTGACCTGCTTTGACATAAGTTGTTTTGGAAAATATTTTTCACTTATCTGGGATTACAGCTTTTTATTAGTTATTTTTTTAAAAATCAGAATCGACTGGTCTCTTAACCAAATTTGGACAAATGGACAGAAACAGAGAAGCCAAACATAGTCCCTGGGAGAGCTGTAAGGACAGAGCCATCGCTGCACGTGGCCAGAAGGATGAGGCTTCCGTATGTATGTATGGTTGAAACCTGGACGTTTGCAGCAAGGCCGGGTCTTCCACTTTGCATGGCCAGTGCCTCCTGTTGTTGTGCCTATGTTCTTCTGAAGAAGTTAAGCAAGAGAAAGGATCCTAGGAAGGAAGGTAGGGAGGGCATCAAATGGCTGAGGGGTAACCACACCATTTCCTGTCTGCGCTGGGGCCCCGAGGACATAGGGTGCGGTGCCCCTTGCTGGGGAGCAGGCGGCGGGGCGAGACAGGCCGAGTGACACGGCTCTGCCGCCCTGCTCAGAAAGGCACGGCTGCTCCAGCTGCGAAGCAGGGCTGGCTGCCCACGCCTGCAACACGTGGCAGCTGCGGCTGTGCGGGCCTCAGACTGTCCTGGGGAAACAGAGCAGGGAGTAGGTGGGATGGAAGAAAAAAAGGTTATTACTGAAGCTGTCGTCTTACCAATTCCTGAGTGAATGTGGCGCATCAGGAACGCTTTGGTTTGAGCCGTCTGAAGGCACTAGCTGTGCTTTTCCAAAGCCATGACTTGAGTAACAAACAGATCTCCTTCAGATATCAGAGTGCTCAACACCAGGTTTCTGTATGCTCAGGCCCTTCAGAAGTTCAAGCTGAGTACGTGTGCCATTAGTGATGACGTAGGCACACACAGTCATCCCACCCACAGGACAAGCCCGGGACTGTATCTGTGCTTAAATTATTATTAAAACCAATGATTAAATGTTTCATCTCTTGGAGCTGGGACAGGCAGGGAGACAAACAAAAACCCAACAGTGAAATCAGTTTTGCTCCACGCAACAACCCTACTAGGCCATTACCCTTTTCCTTCTTTTGTTCTTGAGAAAGCATCCAACATTAATGGTTGTGATGATCTCACTCTCTGGCTATAATTTTAGCACATAGTCGTCCTGGTTTGGAACATTTCTTCTTGTTTAAATATCTCACTGAAATAATCTCAGTCAGATGAAGCCGCACATATATTGCCATTACATACAGGTACAAATAACCACTAGAAAACAAACCTATCAAGATAAAGAATGGAGAAGTTTTAGGGCTTGCTTTTTTACTCTTGCCCATCCTTGAACAGCAGCTTGCTGAAAATAGTCAAACAGTTAACTTCAAGGCATTTCAGACACCGAGTAAATATTCAGTGACGATTTATTGTCTGGTCTTTATTATTATTACAAAAAAAGCAGATATCAAAAAACAGCAAAGATTTCACAAGTTCCCCAACAGTTTCACACAACTGAACTGCAGTAAAATGGTCAATGTAAAACACGTGTATTTCAGTCCTGGCCCTAAACCTTCAACGGTGATCTGTGGTCTGGGATGCCCTGGGCTTTTCTAATTCTTTTTAAAGTACTCTTTACTTT